GCTGTAAGTTGATGTTCTATGATAGAGTGGTAGTATAGATAAAGAGGGTAGAGTTTATATTGTAAAATATATTGTTATATTGAGCATTATAGATAGATTAATTATATCAGTAGACAATTGACAGTATTAGAAAGATTGTAAAACTTGAAAGAATTGAGCTTTAACATTCAAATAGAAACCAAGTTGAAGAATTTGGTGTGGGTGGGGGGGATATTACATTCCCCCCTTGATAGTTGAGTTTCCTTACATTTCAGAAAGCTAGGTAACAACCAGATTTATGTAGATACCAAGCTTAATCACCTACCTGATATTTTTAGTAAATAACAGAATGACAGTGAATACTTACAATTTCAACATTTTTGACCAAGCAAAAGTTGAATATACAGTAGCATTAAAAAAGAATGGTTAGCTACCCGATTTGAATTACAAGATTATAAAAGAGCAAATTCCTACAGAATGTCTAATATAACCTGGTTTAATCAAGCTTTTTTTAAAAAAAGTAGTAAAGATGAAAAGGAGTAAGGTTGCTTTGGACATCTTGAAAGCGTTTGACATACCAGTCTTCATAAGTTCAAAGGCTATGGTATTTCTGGACAAATCTTTAGACTGATTTAGTCTTTCTTATCAAATCACAAAATGAAAGTTGCCCTGAACGGCCACACTTCTAGATCTTTTTGTACTAATGCAAGTGTTCCAAGACTATCCTTGAACCCACTTTGTTCTTAATTTTCATCACTGACCTTCCAGGAGACATCAGTTCTCAACTTGATCAGTTTGTTAAAGTCAAATTAGCAGCTGATAAAAAAAAAACAAAAAAAAAAAAAAAAAAAAAACAACCCACAGTCTGTTGTTAACTGGGGTGAAAAACGGCTTGTTAATTTTAATGCCTCCAAAACAAAACTTCTCTATCAATCATCTGAAAGACACTTTCCTGTCTCCCATCAACATGGCTGATACTAACCTCCATGAGAGGGACAATGATGCACCTTCTTGGGCTTACATTCTCAGCTGAAATGAAGTGGAAAGATTATATTGAATCAATTGCTAGGTCTGCTGCAAAGAAAGTTGATTCACTATGTTGTGCTAGACAGTTTTTCTCTCCTGAATATATGTCTACCATTCATCCATGCTTTGAATATTGTTGCCAAATATGGTCAGATGCTCCTGCTGTATATTTAGAGATTTTTGATAAAATCTAAAGAAGAATTAGCAATGTTATTGGTCATAGCATGGTTTCTCGGCTTCAGTCATTTTGCCACCACCGTAATGTAGCTTCCCTGTGCCTTTTCTATAAATATCTCCATGGTAACTGTTCAAATGAACTATTCACTATGGTACATAGACTTTTTGAATTTAAGTGCAGTACTAATTGAACTGGCTAGATGTGACCATAAGTTCTATACTAACAGTTTCCCACACTTCTCACTTATGGAACTCTCTTCCAGCACTGTGCTTTCCATTCAAAATTGATCTTCAAAAATTTAAATGCAATGTCAATTGTTATCTAATGTCTTCTTGATTATTGTTCTCACACCTTAATAATGTTTCGCTTTTTTTCTTATTCTTTCACACTTAGTAATAATGTGTCTTAGTGGCTTTACTGCCTTCCATGGGGTATTATAAAAAAATTAAAAAAAATAAATGATAAGCACTTCTCTAAATCCTATAGACTTTATAAGAAATTTAATAGAAACTCCCGTAACATCATTTATTGTCGTATGGAAAACATACCGCAGTTGGTGAGGAATAACAAGATAGTGAATGCTGGTCATGCTAATTATAATCGTAATTCTAACCCCCCATATGTAACTCTAGGGATAGAGAAAGCTGTTCTTTGGAAGGTGATTATTTAAATCAGAATGATGATACTGTGAAAGTAGATGACAGGCCTGATATGGTATATATTGGAACCATCAAGAGAAGTTTTTCCAAATCATAAGAGGAGGCAATCCAAAGTCAGTAAAACATGAAAACAGGACAAATGCTCAAGGCGAGGTAAAAAAATGTTTGAAAAAGTCATTTACTTTCACAGAGGAGTACATAGATATGCCATTTGTGCTTGGATATAAAATTAAATACAGGTGCATTTCTCAATGAAAGCAGATTATTAGATTGAAAGATGCAAAATATTCCCTCTTGTAAGCATGAAAATTGATTGGTGTTATATGCATGTGGGCTCTTAAAAATGAATCTTGCTTCTTAATTTGATTACCTGACAATTGTTAAACAGTGTGAGAGTTGCAAGTTATTTGTGGTTTTTATTTGGTCTTATACATCAACTCATACATTCAACTTACATCTCTTTGAATAAAAGAACCTGCAAATGTAACACAGGACCAGAAGAGGATTCCCATAGCCATCAGATATTTTCGGTTAAATCTATCACCAAGATAACCAAAGATTGGTGAGAATGCCATGTAACTGAGGATGAAGGCTGTTTGGAGGAGGCCTGATTCTTTATTGTCCAAACTATAATACGACTTCACATCTTCTAAGATACCTGCAAATAAATAACAGTTATAAATATAGCAAACATTAATTATAAAATCTAAGTGTTGTTTGAAGGTCTGAGAATTTAAACCATTCAAACCAATATTCCTGTATTTTCTAGCTTATTTTTTTTTTTTTTTCAGGCTTATGTTGAACTTAGAAATCTTTGAATCTCGTTCAGTATTCTATTTTTTGGAAGGGAGTGAAATTTCTACTATCACCTCTTTTTGAACAATTCACAAATTGAAGTATCTGAAGTTTATGCTGCAATATCAATTGCTTTGTCAGACAGGAAAAATTCAGACAGAAAATACTGAAAAGTCAAGTTGTTTTTTAATACAAAACAAAAGATGAAGATACTAGTTTATACAATACTTGTTTTTCATTTCAAGTTTCAAACTAACAGTATAGTTTTTAATTTTAAATGTTCTGCCTCTTCAAGATGTCAATCTTGATCATTCAGTATCTAAACTTGGCCACTTCAATGTAGTGCAAGTTATTAGCAAACTTGCCTTGCTAGATCAATTACAACTGAGAAGTGAGTTTGATCCTCAATGGGTGCTCCACACTTTCAGTCTTGTGCCACATCTAAGCTACTCTTAGAAAATCACTAAGCACTTCGACGTGGTGTAATAGTTAGCAAATTATGCCGTCACATCAATTACTATGGAGTAGTGAATTCGATCCTTACTCGGTACTCCATACTTTCATCTTTGTGCCACATATAATCTTCGCCTAGAAAATCAATACTAGGCACTTCAATGTGGTGTAACAGTTAGCAATTTTGTCTTGCTAAATCAATTAGGAGTGGATAGCAAGTTCAATCCTCACTGGCTGCCTCATACATTCAGCCTTGTGCCATATCCAAGCATTGCTTTGAAATCACCATTTAATACCTAAACTGAATTTGCCAGACAATAAGAACACAGGTTATAAAGGAAACTTTAAAAAATACTTGTCGGATGGTCTTCTATTCTTCATAACATCATAACTGTGTAAATTTTTTTTAAAGAAAAAAATGCCAAATAGACCATCAGATACAATACAGCAAGACAACTTGATAAAAAAAAAAAAAAAAAAAAATTGCATCAAAAATTCAAATTTATTTTTAAAATGATCAATTGAAATATCCAATATTACATTTCTGAATTTTCACTTAAAAGAAACAAAATTAAATTTGAAATATTTTTAAATGACATGCATGAAATTTACATACACATTACTCTGAAAAATAAAAATTAATATTAAATCAATAATTCAAAGAAGAAAAAATTTGGAGATATACTTTCAAATTTTTCTATTTTTATCTTGCTTTACATGTAATGACAATTTTTTTTTTCACCTGATTTCAATATCAAAAATAATATTTAATCATGAACACTGGCATTATAAAATAACTGAAAAGTTTGGAAGTTTAAAAACAACTGATTGAAGGATGGGTGAACTCATTGATTAAGATTTTGATCTGTAAATGATCAATAATTTTCAATAGGCAGCAATCAGTAACTACTGTAGTAGTTAGCATATAAGACTCCTGTTATTTATATTTAGTAATAATGTATTATGTAGTAAGGCAAGGTACAAGTAGTTGTAGTCAACAGTATCTGGGTAAACATATTTCATGGGATTCTGAAATGTTCTCAGCCCAGCCCACTTCCCAAAATCTGTCGAAATATAATGTAGTTTTCACCACCTTTTTTTTTTTTATAGATTTTCTTAATCAAGCTGAGAACTTCCCAGCACTCCTTCAATATCTTAATTTTTTACATAAAACCCAAGTTTAAAAGCAGTAATTCAACTTTGCTAACCAGACACTTCCTCTGTAACTAAATGGTATAGCACATCAAGCTATATGACAGTTCTGTGTAGGATAAAGGTTCGATTTCTGTCAGAGGACATTTTCTATGAAATTTCTGACATTCAGGCAAGTAAATGTTTTTAATATTGTTTATTATAAACAGAGCATTTGCTTAAATGTCTGTATTTATAAAAATAATGTATAAATAATATATTAAAATAATTGTCAGACTTAGTCCATTTCGTAAGATATTTTTTAGCCATTTTGAATGGAAAAAGGGGGCTCTACTTAAAAAAAGTACTCACCAATAACACATTTTTTACAAAACAAACAGGAAACATGTAATATTGAATCCAATAATTCATTTCTTTACTCTCGTGTTTATTTATTGTATTCTGAGTAAAATTTGATGTGTTGGACAACAGATGTAAAGTTAGGTACCTACACGAGATCGCTAAAAAAAGAGCATAGCATGATGAAAAAGACGCCAAACTTGACGAAAACAAAATTTTATCGTCTAAATGTTTGTTATTCATTAAGAGGAAAGGTCAAAGTATTTTTGGGGTATTTTTTTCCATTTTTAATCGTTCCTAGCACGTCCGAAATTTTCGTTAAAAATCTAGTTTTTTTTGAGTCAGCAAAATTGACCATTTTTTTCCATTTTAAAAATAATGGAAATCTGACTTTGAAATTTTTTTAAATATCAATTATCATTTTTTCAAAACTTATTTTAAGAAAATCAGAAATTATAATGTTTATTTAAAATATTTTGAACCAAACTTAACTTAGCTTTTGTGCCAAAAAGATGTAATTTGAAAATAAAACAAAGCAGGTCATAAACTTTCACGTCTCTTGACATGTGATGAATGATATATTTACGAATTCCATGAGGCTAATTTGTTCTCTGAAGGAGAAAAAGTGAAATAATTTACATTTACGTGAACAAATTATTTACACCGTTATTTTTAACGAAAACTTTCAGCAGTCAATTTTTTTTTTTTTTGTACTTAGCTTTCACCTTTACGTTTATGATGCTTTATGGGAAATATATTCTAAAGAAATTAAAATAAAACTGTTAAGAGTGACATTAAATTTCATATTTCTTAAGAAAGGTATCTAATTAATTTATAGGTACCTTTCTTATGAAATTTTATCAGAATTGTACATAAAATACTATAATTTTATGTACATTTATTACATTCTACTGTTATTTGTATTTGCATTCATTTTATTATTAATTTTGATATTTCATTTATGGAAAAATGTCGTAACTGAGATTAATATAAAATAAGATCATAAATTTCATAAGATGATACTGATACTTGTAGGTAACCTTCTCAGTTGAAATTGAAAAATCAAATTAACTTCTCCACACGTGTTTTATAAAAGTAAAGGCCTTAACAGCGGAGAACAATGCTTAACTCAAATAACGAACTTAATTATATTCTGGTTGGTCTTCCGTATTTTATAATTACAGCTCGATTATAAGCACAAAATTACATTTCTTAATTACTGGGGATCTTCTGATCCGTCAAAATGATACAATTTACAACGCACTAAAAAAAAAGATCTATCTCATAAGGACACTTATGAAAGCCGATCTGACTTTTAACTAATTTTATAATAATTTAACAACTTAAATGTAAAATCTATTATAATTAATGAAATAACAAATAATTGTATTAAAAATTCATTTTTCATCGAAAAAATTTTTTTGCTTTCAGGAAATATTGTCCATATTCATAAAAAAAACTAGAAGCAAATAAAAGCATTTGAAATTAAATAATATCTTTGTTTTATTGAGTTTTGTATGCTACAATTCAGAGCTGATTTTCAGGTACTGGGTATCCAATTAAAAACAAAAAAAAAAAAACATGATTTGCATTCCTCAAAGCCCTGTGCTTTTAATTATTGTAATCACTAAAACCGATGCAATCAATTTCTAGCGTTTTTCATAAAATTAGTTATGGGGGGTAATAAATATTTTTTAAAAATATTTCTACCATGACTTTCATAAAAAAAAACAACATATTTATAATAATTTCGATCATCTGTGAATAGTTCCTGAAAGTTTCATTAACATCCGATAATTATTTCTATTTTTTTGCACGATTTTTCAAATTAATGTGTGTCATACCAAAAAATGCTAAAAATTGTCTATGTTATTTACTAGTTCCGCTGATACAAATAGAAACAAGGTTTTTTTAATCAAAATTTAGAATTTTCTAAAAAGAAGGAAAATTTTTTAAAAATAATTAAAAAAAACTTTGGTCTTTCCTCTAAATAATAACATAAGCATTTAGACAATAAAATTTTGTTTTCGGCAAGGTTGGCGTCTTTTTCATCAAGCTATGCTCTTTTTTTAGCGATTTCATGGAGGTACCTATGTAAAGTTGAAATGCCAAATAATCATCTTCATGCAAATCTATAGTTTTTTGGGTTTTTTTTTCCATACATTTTAGATTGGCAGATTTTCACCATTTTATTTTCTTATCAGGTAACTACTAGGAAAGAGATTATGCAATGGCAAATATATGACCTAAGAGAGAGAAGGAGCAGTTTAGGTTAAAGATTTATTCTAAAAAGCAAGCCAAGAAAATAAAGAAAAATAAAGCAAAACTGTTCTCTACAGATGCACAATTTCCAAATGTTTATAAAAAACAATAGAAAATACTTCATTCAAACCCACAATAACATAACAGTATAACATAACACAGATTTTCATCCTGGCCTCTTTAAATATAATTAGCTCGTCTAATATCTTTAAAAATACCAGATATTAATTGGATGGTTTGTTATGCTTGAGCGAAAATATATGTACAATGTAATTAAAGTCATGAGATTAATTAATTGGTATGCAGGCCATGAAGAGATTTTTTGCTTGTTTTAACTAAATTACTGTTTCTGGTGGTAAGTAAGAATTAATGGTTGAAGAATGACAAAGACATGACTGTTCACTAAGTGATGTTGTTCTGTAGTGAGCCCTGATAAAAATAATATATATCAATAAAAAAAAAAAAAAAAAAAAAAAAAAAAAATTCAAATTAAAATAAGGCATTTTTATTTTCCTTTAAAATCCTTTCTTTCTTTCTCTCTCTAAACTTCTATATATTTCTCTCTCAACTAATAAGGCAACTCAAATAAAAAAAAAGAAAAAGAGTTGATAAGATTGAACACTGCTGAACCAGAGTATAGCCATTTGTGACTAAAAA